TTCATATAAACTGTATTTTTGGAGATACAGGTGCAAATATATGCAATTTCATCTTACAGTGGCACATTTCATCATTTGTAATAGTTTATTTGATTAGGATTATTGTAGGTGTTCAGCATATGCTGGCTTGCTTTTCCATTATTGTTATTAGTAAACACACTAATACTATTGTTTATAAACTTTAATATATTCCATCTTTTTTTTTCTTCTTCTTCTTTTTTTCCTCTCAACAGGGAAATGATCTCACTTTCCCCACCCCACGTGGATAAACTCAGCTCTGAATCCACTGATGAAGTTGTTGACGAAGAAACAAGATTGATGTTGGAAATGGAGCGGGAGGATAGCTTCCAAAAAGCATTAGGTGTGTAAAAGAATGAATAAATGTTATCATTCTTATTACTGTTTTTAAATATTAATCTAAGGGCATCAGGAGTGCACATATACACGCGGTGGTTTTGTTTTATTAACTTTGTTTAGACACAGATGGCTCCATAAGTGCTTAGTCATCAGAAGTCAAGTCCTAGGCCTACCTGACCTCACTTAGTTTACTATTCTTATAACATTATGATGATAATAGAAATAATAATAATCATTAAAAAAAAAATTAATAATGTTTATAACAGTTACTGATTTTTTTTTTCTCATGAAAATTTGATGAATAGGGTATACAGGAAGAAGACATCAATGTGTAATAATCAGTTAATTAATTGGATGCTGCCTGTACCCATTTTCAGTAGGTTAAAGATGTTCAAGGACATACAAAGAGCTAAAAAAACAATTTCTGACTAGGTACCCGGCCTGCCCTTCCTGATGTCGTCCTTGAAGATGAATACCTGCCGGTCCTTGAGATCTTCTATGCCTGCACAGACTCTGACCCTGAAAAGAGGCCGTCAGCTGGGCAAATCCTGCATGTCATTGATTGTCTTGAGGATTTAGAAATGAATGACACAAGCAGTAAGAAAGATTGTGGTGAATGAAAGAAGCAACACAAATGGACATATTCTGGAACAAGTGAAGGAATGAATGAGGCATTATTGTAGTGACTGTGTTTGGTAGTAAGGATTCTTCTGTAGACTTTTTGAATGTTTGGTTTTCATTTTTATTTAGACACTCATTTCTGTAAGTTGCTCTTAGTAGTTAATGAGAAACTCGCATTATTCATTGCATGTATTAGTAGTTCATATCAGATAAAATGTACTCTTTTTCTGTTATTTTTTCAAATACAATATAATTTGTTATTTTTTGTTATGTATTCAAATTCTGTATCTCCTTTTTCCCTGATTATGTTTCCTTGATATATGCATAGAAATGTATTTTCCTTATGACTTAATATCTAAATTGTTATCTTTGTTGCACTGAAATATATGTATTGATAGGTCAGATTACCTTTAGGATTAATCAAGTAATAAAGGTGTCTTTGTATGGTCTGTTGTTTATTTTTTTGTATATTTATTTTAAAAATTTCACCGTCTCAACATGTAAGCTCATTACTGGCGTTTTCAAAATACAGCAATAAGGTGAGGCCTAGTGAGCAAAGCCCCAAGTTTAGCATCATGATAGAATATTGTAGTGAAAAGTGTAAAAATGAGTTAATGATCAGGACAAAATGTGTTAGTTCTCAAAGTTTGTAGAGCACTATAGTGCATGGCAGTGAAAAGGGTAAATATGGGATAGCAAATGGAGTGCAGAGGGGATCTGTAAAAGGGAAAGGGGTTAAGGGTATATGACAATTAGATCAAATGGAGAAACAAATCAGTGGGTAATATGGGTAGAAATGGTAGTTGGAGAAGAAGAAGAATCCAAAGAATGAGATAAGGGAACAGGGGAAGGTGGTGAAGTATCAGGAAGAATATTAGGAGGGGATGGATCTGGAGAAGGGCTTTGTTGTGACATAAGGGAGTCACGTGAGCATCCAGGTGGGAGTGGTAAGGATAATGGGGAAGGAAGAGGGAATGGTTGTGCACATGGAAAAGGAGAGGATGGGGTGTTCAGGGGCAGAGTGGGAGGAAGAGGAATAGGGTGAACTTGAGGAGGAGAATGGATATCGGCACATACTTTGGATGAAGAGGGAATAGGAATAGAGGGATTGGAGGGTGGATAAGGGAGCAGAGCATTCTCTTGGGTCATGGTTAGGGTGTTTGGATGTCTCCATAAGTTTCTAGAGGGGAGTTGGGTGGGGAGGTCTGAGAAGAAAAGTTTCTTAAGAGGTGGAGAAGATGAAATAGATGTCTGAGGAGCAGAGGGTGGAACATTTAGATTGTCTAGTGCAACAGGTAGAGTGAAGAAGAGGAGGGGTAGGCATCAGGGAAGTGGTAGAGATTGAAGTATCTGGATTTATACTGGAAAAAGAATTTGACTACTCCCCATGGGTGAAGGAGTTGATGAGCAAATGGATTAGTGGGCTGTAGAACGGCAGTGTTTGGCCGGGTGGCTAAAATACCAATATTGTCATAGACAAGGAAGGGGTTCACATGGTCAGACAGGGCAGGACACTCCTCCGGTATAGACTTCATGGGGAGGTCATGCCTATGGAAACTAATTTTGGCAATATTGGCCTCTGGGAAGAACAGTGTAGCACTATACTGCCACTGCATCATAGTCAACAAGGCAGGCAAACAGATCATTTTCACAGTTTTACCAGTCCTCTTTGGGGAGATGGAAACAGTTACAGTACAAGTTTTAATAGAGGAGTTAGATTGGGCAGGAATAAGTTTGCCAGAGGTCAGTCAGGGTAGATAGTACATGAGCTTGGGATTCACTTCCATAACTGTGACAAGGTGTGGATGATTGGAATAGCTGAGAAAGGAAACTTTGCCTACTTGTTTTTGGAGATGCTGTCAAAAGGGAGGGGAGTCGCAAAGGTCTGATCCCACTTGGCTGGGCCTAAAGGTTTGTAGAGGTGGGAGCAGTAGAAGGATGAGGGCGGGAGGAAAATGGGATGGTGCGGAGTGAGGTAGTACTGTGGGGAGGAGCACACTAGGGATGAATAGTAGTAATAAGGGGGGAGGGGTAGACAATGGAGAGGACTGTCCAGTAGATGATGTAGAGGATGTTGAGAGAAGAAGGGATATAATCTGAAGGTCAAGTAATGACCCAGGTGGATGATTCAGAATGGACAGAGCTGACACCAAATATCAACTGGGTATTAGTATCAGTAGTTGGAAAATTTAGATGGCCTAGTTGATGAAGAGGCAAGCCTTACAAGCCATGGTGAGCCTGAAAAAAGTGGGAAAAAGAAAGGGTCTACCTCTCAGGGTCCCCCTAAGGAGTAAAGGCTAGGTGATTACCCAAAGAAATACTATGCCCACAACTCCTGGAGGCCAGTCATGATCCTTTTAGCACTTCTCACACCCTAGGAAATGGACAGAAGATGAAGAGAAGGAAAATGGAAGGGATAGAAGAAAAGGACCATGCAAAATTATAAGGTGAGGGTTTAGGTTCAAGGTAGGAGGTATGGCCTGTTGTGTGTTTTGATTAATACAAATTTATACCATTCCTGCATTTTTCCTAATCTTTAATTGTGGATTTTCATTAGACTTTTTTTTTTTTTACTTTTCCTTTTTTTTGGTAGTTTTGTATATTGCATGCATCCTCATTCCTCTATATTTCTGCTTCACCACATGCTGCAGGGGAAAATTAATAAATTGGGAAAATGCTGTGCTCATTTATATTTTAGTGAAATGTCTCTGCACATAGATGGCTCTGCTAGTGCTTAGCCACAAAGGAGTCAATTAGTAGACCTTGTGACCTTACCTAATTTCACCATACCTTGAATTGGCAGGAAAAACATTTTTTACTAATGCCATGAATATTACAGAAATTATAATTACTATGATGTAAACATAAGTAACAGCAAAACAAGATCATGTAAAATATTTTCGTAAATCAAGGAAAAGGGTTAACAGGCTAGACAGGCATGTATAAAAATTAGTAAAGTAAACTCACAGTGGGCTTGGCATGTACATACATGTCATGCCTGTCGGCATTGGGTTAATTTAGGCCATTCGCCCCATGTGGCAAGAATACATGCCATGCCTACTGCAAAACATGTTTACTTATTATATTTATACATAGATGGCTCTACAAGTTCTTAATCACCAAATAGCCAGTTTATCAGAACTACCTATCTCACATTTTTACCCTTTTCCTTCCCTTTAGGGAAATATTTTAATGACAATTTAATAATCATAACATCATAACATCATTAGCAATGGTATTAATAAGAAAAGACATTTTCCTGCCAATTGAAGGAATGGGAAAATTAGGGTCGGTAACTAGGGCCTACTGATAGACTCCTTGCCGGGTGAGCACATGTGGAGCCCTCCGATTGTAATAAAATTCACCAAAAAGTACAGGGGACTGAACATAAATCCGGGGTGAATGGGTTAAGTTTCTTCCTGCTTCCCATCTATTGTAATATTGATAGTTTCAGACTGAAGTTTAATGGCTTTTATGTACTAGCACTGCCAATGAACACAACCATTAACACCTTTGGATTATTTGTTAATAAGTAACATTTGAGAGCACAGGATACAAAAACAATCAAGAAAATAATTTAAATGCTCCTTTTATTTAACACATTACAGCAACTGAAGATAATAATATACTGTGGTAAGATTAACAAATAAAATAAAATCTCTTGAAAAATTTTCTTATTTAAATCCTCTTATAATGTACCACTTGCACAACACTTGATTTTCTTTGCCACCTGTTATCATCTGATAATTGAATAGAAACCCACTTCCAAGATTAAGACACTGCCTTGTACAAGAAGCTTAAATATAAATCACCGAGTAGTCACCGAAGTATTAAAAATCCTGAAATATAATTTATCTGTGATGCAAGGATTTCTGTGTCTTCGAAGAAACGATGCTTGCATTCTTTAAAATTTTAATTTTAAATCTGGAGAACTGGTATTTTATAGGCAAAGAGTCATACTTAATTGCAGTAAAATTGGCTAAGATTGCTTTTATGCATTTGACGTTACTGCCAACTTCTTCAAGTGTTCCATGAAGACCTGTAAGCTGACATCATCTGTGAGAACTGGGGCACCACCATCCTGAAAAATCATTAAACACTTATTATAAGTTGAAGTCAACTTTCAAAAAATCATAATAATAAATAAAATGTCTGCTATATCAACACCAAGAATGAAAGGAGATGGGGCACAAGAAAACTATTACCTAAACATAAATAATTACCCAAAAACTATGCATCTAAATGTACTAGCTTAAATTATACCCAACACAAGAATGTTAAAAACACGATATATAAATAATTATTACCTCTGGAACTTGCCTACTACAACCAGACTATTAATTCTTACACAAAGAAAAATTGCTAGAATTTGATATATCTAATTTTAATTTCTTTACATCTACCAAAGAAAAAATTCCTTCACATGAACTCCTTTGTTGTATAAAGAAGGGATTTACAAAATTAGCATCTTATTTTCCATTTAATTATATACTTGACACACAACTAAAGACATTCTTCTTAGTTATCTAGCCCTAGCAATATATAAAAAATACCTTAAATATTAATACCACTTCCATCTACTTATTAAAACAAAGAGATCTGACCACACCACTTGTTTTCCAAGAAAGTCTTTATAATTCGAGAATGATCTTATTCAGTAAACCATTAGACCCATGTCTGTATATGTATTTCAAGAAAGTATATAACCATTTAGCTTTCTTTTCTTTTTCCTCATATCTTTATATTGCATCATATCAAGTCAATTTTGGAAAAATTCAATCAAATGAGTTTGTGTGATTTTCAAAAAGAAAAGAAAACTTTGCAAGCAGTGACCCTAAAGTGAAATATAAAATCAGTGTACATTTCACAATAACCAGTAAAATATGAAGATGTCACACATTCGTATTGTTCATGAGAGTCAGACTTACCTTTCAAAACCTAAAATGACCAAAACCATAGAAATATTCAAGGCAAACCACAAGGTTTGTGTTAGTCTATAATTTAAGAGTGTTTAAAAGAAATATTTTGTTTTTGAGTTGTGTGTGTTACACATATGGTGTTCAAACTACAAAATTTAATATCCAGCACCTTCTAATGTGTGTCACAAACACCATCTTAAAAGGAACTAATCATATTCAAATCAAGCTTTTTGCTGTGTTTTCACCATCACCAACAAGTGCTACAATTTCGTTTTGGATAAAAATAAAAGCAAGTTTAAATTTGTGCCATCACCAAACCACAAAAAAATAATAAATACCGT